GAAGATGAGAGGGTGGCACTTCGTCTTCTCATCTCCGGAAGCAGCAGAAGAGTCCACGCTTCTTTTTCTTTTTTAAGCAAAGGTCCTGCAGCTCTTTGTTTTTTTCTTCTAATTCATTGATTTTCTCCTGCAGGCCTTTGTTGCTGTCCTCCAACTCTTTCTGATTTTTTAAGAACTCTTCTTTCTCCTCAGCTCTCAGGGCAACATCCTTTTCGAGCTGCTTTACGGTATTGTCTGATTCCGTCGCTTTCGCCTCCATCTTTATGAGCGACTCAGACAGATTCTGATTGATACCGTTGGACTGTAAGAGTTTCTTCTCACTGTCAGCATGTTGCTCAGTCAGGAGAGTAAACTTCCTTTCCCTGTCCAGCTGCTCCGTCTCCAGACACCTGATGCGGCTGTTGGCCTCGTGAGCCTGGCTGATGAACTGACTCTTTTCTGCCAGGAGCTTTTGGATATGTTGATCCATGGAGCTGATGCGACCATTCAAAGAGTTGTTCATCTCCATCAGGTGTCTTGCCTCCTCACACTTCTTGGTCTTTTCTAGTTGGTCTTTATTTTTGTCTTCCTGCAGTTGATTTTTCTCTCTCTGAAGTGTGTTGTTCTCTCCCTGGAGTTTACGATTCTCTCCCTGGAGTTTACGGTTCTCTTCCTTCAGACCTTTATTGTTCTCTTCCTGCAGTTTTTTCTTCTCTTCCCGTAGTTTTTTGTTTTCTTCCTGCAGTACATTTTTCTCTTTGTGCAGACGTTGATTTCTGTCCTCCATTATTTTCATCTCACTCTTCAGTGCCTCCTTTTCTTGTTGATCCTCTTCTCTTGGGAGGTCTTTTTTGTCTTGCAGCATCGCAGAGAGACTCTCGTTTTCCTTTCTCAGTTTTGAGATTTCGTCTCTCAGAACGAGCTGCTGCTTGTCCTTGTACTTGCCGCCCATAATGTCGTCCCATATCATGGACAGAGTCTGGGCAACAGGTAAAGGGGCCGGGGCCTGGATGGGCTTAGTTTTAGCAACATCGGCCCATGTTTTTGTCGCCGTCTTTGTCTGTGAAGAGGCCTGGTCTTCCTGGGTGGTATTTTGACCTCCAGCCTCTGTCACAGCCTGCAGCTCTTTCAGCTGGTTGGTGGTGCTCATCAAGAGCCCCTCCAGCTTGCGGGTATTGGCCTTGCTATTGTGGGCCCACTGGAGAAACTGCTCCTTTTCAGCAAGGCCGCGTTGAAGGCGCATCTTCTGAATATTTATACCCTCCCTCTGTTTGTCCATCTTTACTTTGGCGACAAACAAGGCCTTGCGCAACCCAGATGGGTGACGTTCTGGGGCTTGAGGGAGGGGCGCAAATGTAACTTTGCGTTTAGGTTGAGTATTGTCAGCCATTGTGCTGGAAACTAAGATGCTCTGCAGAAATACTGAAGTCAGTTGTTAATAACGCACAACTCTGTGGCAGACAGTTATTCTGTAGAGGGCTGCTTCTTTTGCTGGTGAAGAAAAGTTGCAGTTTGTGGTCTGTTTCCAATCGCTGGTCAATGCTGGTTTGACGAAAAGCCTGCTCGGACAGTTTGAAGATGGTTGGAAATGGTTAGAAACTCACACTTAGTTAAGCAGTTTTGAGCAAGTGTGATGACATCATAAACGCATCATCGGCACCGTGCCTTTGATTCAAAACAGAACACACACGCGCATGCGCACACACACACACGCTTTCTCGTGCGCACGCGAAACTATCGCGTGGTCAAGAGAAACTTTCTCGAGAAACTATCTCGCGAGCACGAGAAACGTTCGCGTGCGCACGAGATCGTTCCCCGTTTGTACACACTGCGGCATCAACACACCGGCATCAATAACTCTTTAACGAAACGTCATCAACACACAAATTGTGCCTCTTTACCATCAGTGTGAGGTGGACAATAGACTACACGATCATTTTTATTAAAAGCAGCTGTTTCTCGTGCAGCAGAAATAACATTGGTCTCTATGTGCAGCCGGCTGTGCGACCAGAGCGCAGGGACCGTCTGCAAATTGCAACACTGCTGCTACAGCGAAGACACACACTACAAAAATATCTAATAACGTCACTGGTATTCACTGCAGTGTCACCAAAATCACTATAGCCGCCACTTCTCTCTTACTGATCATACTAGAACACTTGGTTTCACAAAAAAATATTCACAGCCTCTCTTGTATGGTCAATCAATGACAGTTTGGAAATACTGGGACGAATAAAGAGAGTTATGGCCTCCTAAGTCCCCAGAAAATAAAATTAGAGGGATTTTCCACATCATATTTTTTAATGCTATTATGTGGGGGGCAAAAAAAAAAAAATGCAGTGGGAGGAAGAAAAATATTCTTTTGTTGAACTAATCACAACTAATGTCCACCTATGGTCTCAAGCCAAGATGTTTGGGGAGTCACCTGGTTACCAAATTAACACACGGCTGCTGCTTACTTTGGCTTTAATCCTCAGTTGGGATCTCCAGACAGCTCTCAGGCTTACTGTGTGGTTTATGCACACCGATTAGATGTTTTGAATTGTGCACCACTAAAACCAACTATGAAAGGCTCAGGGTGCTTCACTGAAGAGGTCTTGTCTTGATGAAGGGGCCCTGTGCCAAAACTAGACCTTTATTGTTTAATCTTTGGGTTTATATGTTGCATGTTCCTGTTAAACAAACAAACCTGGGACCCAGCAGGTTTCCAGCATGGAAAAATGTCAGGATGCACTGAGATAGTGTGGGGAATGACGATGTTAATGGGAGCCTTATTTTTGCCCGGCACACTGTATATCACTTTACATTTATTCAGCTAAGAAGTTAAGTTTCCCTGCAACCTTAAAAATCTGAATTAGCTGCACTGTGGTAGACTGATTTGTTCAAAATCACCTTGTTGTGAACGAGTTAAACTAATGTTCAATAAACTTAAGATGTTAAGTTGAATCAACAAGTTTTATAGTCAACGGGTACAGAGAAAGCTGCCTTTTTCTGTGACTTTTTTTTTTTTTTTTTTAAAGTTTAAAGTGTTTCATCTTCATTTAACACTGAAAACAGACAGCCTTAACTGTTGATGATATTTTAGACCAAAGACGATCTGTGATGCTGCTGCTGATTACACTGTAAAATGCGAAGTCTTACTTAAACGAATCTAAGAAACCGGTTGCACTCAAAAAAGGGGAGTAAATATAACCATTAGTCTTAAATTCAGTTTACTTCATACGTGCTTGTAAAGTTTACTTAAAATTTTGTTGTATTTACTTAATTTTGTGAACTTAAAAATAGCAAGTATAATGAATTTGATCTTTGTGATAGACTGCAGTGCATGTAAAGTGGTGTTAGAGACTTAAATAATAATTGATCAGATTTATATAGCGCTTTTCTAGACACTCAAAGTCGCTTTACACTGTCAATTATTCATTCACACACATTCATCCCAGTAGTGGTAAGCTATGCATTCACACCAGGCAAGGTGGGTGAAGTGTCTTGCCCAAAGACACAGCGACCATGACACAGGTTACAGGGTGGAATCAAACTGCCAACCTTCCAATCATTGACCAGCTCACTCTACCACTTGAGCCATAGCCGCCCTGTAAAGTTCCTGGAAACTTCTCCTGCACCTCTCTACTGTATATGTGAACTACTGAGCTCTGTGTTCAGTCCAGGAACAGAACGTTTCAAGTCCAGTTTACTCAAGTAGACTTGGTTTTATAACTCTTTAAGGAAAAATGAGGACATATTCACAGTCCATGAGTTAAATGAACAGGACAATGAGAAATAAGTACAATAATGTGATTCAAGTAAGCATAGGTACTACATCCAAAAACGCAACCCAAAAAGGCAAGACCTAAGTACAGTATTGACCTTTGTGATGGCTACAGCTGTTTTAATTATTGTGAAAAGAAACAACCACAAACTCATTAAAAATGTAGTAAAGACAGCAAGTTTTCATCATGTCTATCTTATTAGACAAAAAAAAAGCAATCGTCCGCATTATTGGCAGTCTGCTTTCAGTTAGTTTCTTATAAACTTAACGAGTCTTGTGAACTAATTTCACGTTCATTCTTTCATTGTTTAAGTCAAACTGCTTTGCAGAAAAAAAACCAAAAACGCTTGTTTGAAAGTAAAAATTACACTTTTTAAGTTGCATCAGGGAGTCTCCATGTTCTCCCCGTGCAGCGTGGCTTCTCTCCGGGTTCTCCGGCTTTGTCCCACACAGTCCAAAAACATGTTGAGGTTAGTTGGTGATTCTAAATTGTCCGTAGGTGTGAATGCGAGTGTGCTTGGTTGTCTGTCTCTAAGTGTAGCCCTGTGATAGACTGGTTACCTGTCCAGGGTGTCCCCTGCCTTCGCCCTAAGTTGGCTGGGATAGACTCCAGCCCCCCGCGACCCTAATGAGGATGAAGCAGTGTATAGATAATGGATGGATGGATGGATGGATGGAAGTTGCATCAGTAAACTAGAAAAGCTAAATTCCTTTATAATGTCTGACATGGTAGCACTTCAGAGGCTACTTTGGTTATGATTTTGTGTATATTTTTAACCTGTATGTCATTGAGAGCGTACAAAATTTCCTCAACTCAGTGCTTAGCAGGTACACTCCTTTGTAACACATTGGTGAAATAAAGAAGGTGTAATAAAATCAAACAGATCGCACCAGCTTTCCACGCTCTTTGAATAAAGGGATGCCTTCAGTCGGGTTTTGAAACTTAAAAATAATTGTTCCAGTTATCTTGCACATACAGTGAAGTCTTGACACATCAAGCAGATGGCTGGTCCATATATATATATCATCTACATACACATTTTGGTATATAGTTTCTACCAAGTAAGGCTAGTTAAGACAGTGAACTGCAAATAATTGGTGCATTATTCAGTGGTCGTGAATAACACATACATTATTCATAGAATTTTCTTGTTTTCACTTCAACAAGTTAGATTTTGCACATGCAGAAGGTCCAACTACTTCACATTTCAGGTTTGCTGTCTATTAAAAGGAAACTGTCTGAACAACTTCCAACTTAGAATAAAGCATTTTATTTATTTATTTTTTTATCTTGTGAAGAAAAGTCACTGGTAACCACATTATGGCACAGCAGAGTTTGGTTAACTCTCAACATACAATAGATGTCTCACATTCTTTTGTAGTAATCTGAAAAAATAGAAAAGTGAACTGACAGTATGGTTACCATCCTCGTTTCCTAAATCCATCACAACAGTACACACAGTAAGTCACAATCAGAATGTTAGAAGAACAGACAAATGGCAGTTTTGTGCAAAAACATCAAAAATACTGGACATATTACAAAATACAGTTCTCAACATCAAACTGGCAGGACGCTCTGTGTGAATGTAAAGACACAGTGAAATAATCAGCTCTGCAGTACTGGTTCCATGCAGCATCGATACCACTCTGAACACAATGCAGTTTTATTTTAGTTTCTTTATCTTGTTAATAAAATAAACAAGAACCTGTTCTCTTTCTGTGTCTCAAAACAGGATGGTGCTACTTAACATTTTATGTAGCAGCAACATTAGTTTACAACAGTTTTAAAGAGGACAACCCATCTTTGGCCCGCAACATGAAAACACATCATCTTGGTCCATCAGCATCCAAACGGATTGATTAGTTGTTTGTTTTTTTAACTTTATCTTTTGGTCATCGGTTCAGATATAAATATAGTTTCACATTTTAGTACAAAAAATAAGGCAGATTAACTTGTCTAAATTGTAGTTACGTGTTCCTACTGGTGGGACTGGTCAGCCCACTGTGCATTTTTCACTGAATGCAAAGCCACATGTTGTGTAATCGTTCATGTTCTTGTGCACGAAGCCGCGGGAAAAGACGGAGCAGCTTTTCTGCTTCGTTCTCCTCTAAGACTGTATCAAAGGGATTGTAAAACTGATTATTTGAAAAGTGTCTGTGTGCAGCTTCTTCAACCAGCTCTTCTCAGTTCATATGGCCTTGACATCAATAAGGTGGCCGTGCTGGGCCCCCTGCCTCAGGGTCTTGATCCCTTGCAGCTTGCGGCCGTGAAGTGTGAAGCGAGACCAGGCGGCCAGCTGGAGCAGGGCACAGGTGATAGGCACGAACACCAACATGTAGAAGCAGCCCAGGCGTAGCGGCGGAGTCCCTGAGCTAGAGGCGACGTCGGACATCGAAACGGAGTTCTTCGCGGGCTCTCTGTCAAAGATGTCGTAACCTGGGGAAGAGAAATCCAAGAAGCAGTTTACAGATTTTGTGGAAGAACACCGTAAGAATCCAACTGTTAAAGAGGATTCTAACAATAACAAAAACGAAACAAACATATACTGTAAATTGTTTGTTGTTTGAGCTGGATAAGATGAACCAGTCGGCTAATTATGAAGCTACAGCCAGGAGATAGCTGAGGCCAATTCAAGCTATCGACGTCTACGTGTGACCTAAATTTCATCATCCATCCCAGCATGGGAGGGTCTAAATCGAAGAGAAGTCATGCAAGGAGATTTTAAATCATCCATGCCTTTATACTTAGTCTTAAAATAAATCTAACTGAAACAGTTGTTGCCAAACTTTGAAACTGCTTTGATTTCAGCAGCTGATAACATCATTCTGTCCACAGATAGACAGTCTCATCTCATGGCAAGAAATTAAATATACATATATTTCTAAACTATCAGACAAGTCCTTTGGGTAGAATTGTATTTATTTATGGTTTGCTGTTGGACCAGTTTGCACAATATTGCTGTCAACAAAGATCACCCTGTCTGTCTACAGATGGAGAAAGGATGAAGACAAAATGAGGAGAAGTGTACACTGAGCTAAACCTCAAGCTAATATCCGCTTCAATCTTTCCTACAGTGTGTTTTAACAGACGAGGATCGCCACACCTGAAGCAAAAACCAGCAACAATCATAACACTGACAAAACTGAAACAATTCAAGAGCTGCGTCACACTGCAATTAAATAAATTACTGCAATTTTAATTAGAGGAATATATATGCTCTACATTTGATCAAAGGCTATTGTTTAGGCTCAACCAATTGCAAGAAAGAGATGTGGCCTTTTTGTCTAGGTCAACCTGTTGTTCCAGATTTGACACCAAACATTTATCAGCATCATGTTGCTGAACAGTTAATACATTCCCTCACGTACACACTGATCATAGATAAAACTGGAATTCTACTCATTTGCCAACTGAGCCTGTTGACACTTTGCTACAAAGACACATAAATGCAGCAACTTGTAAGAAATGTAATTTGCGTCGCTGTGGGAGTCGAGGGTTTCTGCCCGTACCTGTGTAAACACAAAGCAGCCAGGTGCCGATGAGTGGGGCGAATGTCTGGCCAGGTTTGGTCACCAAGGCAACCATCCCGAAGAGCAGAGCAGAGGCGGCCTGCTGACGTCGGTTCACCACAAAGTCCTCATCCACCAGATCAGAAATCACCAGCTTCAGCAGCTTGCAGGTTCCCTCTGTAAACACCCGGTTACTAGAAGGAAGAGGTGTCGGGTTACAGTTGTGAATGAAATAGAAAGGTGTAATGCAGGTTATAACGCTTTTGCTGAGAGCAGTCTCGATAGAGGGAAATGGCTACAGGCTTAGGTGTGGCTGTGTGGGTGTAAAACCACATTATATCGTGACGTTGAAACTTTCACACTTGCGGCTGTGTTTTGTTTGTGTCGCTTTTTGAATTTTCACGACAGCCTGTTGTTTGTGGCTAAAACACCAGTACCATTATTTGACATTAATCACTAAATAACATGACTAACTGCCTAAAAGCTGTAAAATATCAATGACACACACTATTAAAATGCAAGCAAACTGCCAGCATCCTCAACCTGATGTAGCTGACTCACCAACATTTGAACCAGCTGCACTGCTTCTTCATTTTGTTTCTTGGTATTTTCTGTCTATTCTATACACGCAGAATCCATATTGTGCCGACTGTGCTCATTCTAGGTTACATAAATGAAATTAACATATTTTAATTGAAAAAGAGAGGGCAAAATATAAGCCTGTCACAATTACTCCCTAATCTCCTGATGATTTTGGATAATAGCTAGAATCATTTTCATCCAACTGTAAAACAACAGGATGAAACCAACACATTTCAACCACTGCTTCCACGTCATCTTCCACCCCTTCTTCTGCGATGGTTTAATCTGTTAATCTCTAGGCGCTTAACTTCTAATATTTGCCCTACTGCACTTCAATGAGCATTTATTGACAGTAACGTCATGGATTTAGTTGCAAAGTCAAACACTACAACACCCCTGTGGGCGCAGTTAGGGTTTAAATCAAATGGAAAAAGAAGATTTGAATAATCTAAAGGTGGCAGTTTGTTGGATATGCTACCAAAAGTAAGTGGTGTGGTACATATTTTGCATATTTTCAGTGAAAGTGGCACAAAGTGAAGCAAAAGTGCTATTTTCCCATTTTAAAAAGTATCGCATCAAACACAAGTTAACTCAATATTTGGGTGCAACATGAAACAAACGTTGAGTTAACCTTGGAAACGAGCTGTGACAGAAAGAAGTCCTTGACGCCTCCCTGCAAAGGCTGTGCATAAATCACATTCTACTGACGTGTGTTTGTGTATTCAGCTTGTAAAATCATAAAACAGAAACAAACAAGCAAACTAAAGTGCAAACTAAAGTGCAAACAGTCACACATCGGATCCCTGACGCATGTGCTGATGTGTGTCCATACCTAGCAATGAAGATGCACAGCAGATAAATGTGGTCGGCCCCTGCTAGCAGCATAGCCACACTAAGTCCCAGTTTGAGCATAAATAGCCAACGGATAACCTGGTAAACCCCATAACGCTGGCACAGTGTCAGGAAATACAAGTTGTTCAGGTGGGGGGCAGTGTAAGAGATGCCTGTGTGGGAGCAGAAGCAGAGCATAAATAATAAGACTACAAAACAGCAGAAAGTAATCATTTTGAGAGAACGGGGAGTGGAAAACCGAAAACAGTGCAAAACGATATAAAAAAATAATCTATTCTGTTTTAGCTGCAATTAGATCTGCCACTAAATATTAGAATTAAAACGTGCTACTCGTGTAAAAACAGTGTCAAAGCATCAGTCTGTGTTTTCCAACAATCAGACTTGAACATTCCCTTTAATTTACACTTAACCTCGATAATTCTTAAGCGTTTACTCCATTATTCATTTTTTCTGTAGCTCATGTTGTACAGAACAGACGTTGATAAGACTTGTGAAGAATGTGTGAGTTTTGACTGCGTCTTAATTGGATCTTACCAAGTAAGATGGAACCTGTGGAGGCAGAGATATTGTCGGACAAGAGATGCTCCAGGAACAGAGGGAAGAAGTTGCTGTTGAAATGGCAGTGAAACACCTGTAGTGGGAACAGACACAACAATAGAACGCAACTGAGGAGATGAAATAAAGAAAAACATCATTTTTATCTAAAAAAAATAGCAACCCAAAGATAAAAGGCTATGGATTAGGAACAGCCAAGAGTTTGGGGATATGGGACGGTTTGTACAGATTGTAAAGTGTTTTAGTACTATATACTGTATTAATATATTAAAACACACATTTCCCATAATTACAGGATTATAATATATTAAGAGTCCACTGAAATAAAAGCATATCAGTCATCCCTAATGTTTCCAAGTGTATATTTTTAGTATCTTACCTGAATAAGGTTCATTGACACAAACCACATGAAGTTCCTATGTTTAGACAGCTGCTTGAGATACTGTCCGATAGTGACAGGTTTTTCTGGATTGGTGAGTGGAGCGTGGCCAACACTCAGCCTGAAACAGTGCAAAAGAAAGTGAAAGGAGTGAGAAAGGGAAAAAACAAATCTGTCCATCCAAAATAACTCTAACACTTTCCATATTGTGTGAAATTCTTACTCTTTAAGTGCTGACGCTTCGTCTGGTTTCGGACGGATTTCCTTCCTAAAACGCTGCTGTAGCAACCGAGACACCAACAAAAAGCCCAAGATGGAAAAAGCTGCCAGAGTTACACAGAAGAGACGGAAAGAGTAGAAATCCTCCTTGTTCCAGAAAGAGTAGGACAGAAATACGGAGAAGGAGCCCAAAGCGCTGAACACCGAGCAGTGGAAGTTGAGGCGTGTGCGGTCGGTGGCGGACACGGCGAGGTCGGCCAGTAGGGCGCTGTGGTGGAGGTCCACCATCGTCAGGAAGCCGTCGTACAGACACAGGCAGAGCAGGAACTGCAGGCCCGGTCTGGCCCACGCCACCCAGAAGGCCAGGAAGGACAGAGCGAAGAGAGGGCCATTTGTGGAGAGGGCCTTCAGGCGCTTCAGCACCACCTCTGGAGTTGTGATCTGAGAGCCTGACCTGGGTGGAAAAATAAAACAAGTCCTGTGAATATTACACAACTTTCCTGGTGCAAAACAGACCGACGCTTTGGGGGAAAAAAAAAAAAAAGTCTGATATGAAATTGGCCTTCAGAATCAGCAAACACCAACCCTAATAGTAAACAATGCAGACACTCAAGTAAAAGAGGTGACAAGCTTCTAAACAAAATTATATGATCAGCTTAGGTACGACACCACCTTATGATAACAGAGAGTCAGTTTGCTCAATCATACAGAAATGCAAACACAGATGACAGCATCATGTTTGACGTTAAGCTCTGATGACGTCTTAACTCCGACATGTTAACCGTGTCTTGTTGACATTACTGCAGCGGATAAAAGATTATATCTGAGATGTTTGGGCGTACATGGGAGCTTAAACATCTGTGTCAGAGATGTTGGGTCTGCATGTGTGGAAACTGAGGAGACAGAAATCCACAGGTTAAGCAGAAGAGGGATTTCCTCAAAATTTTAGGATGAGTTTACATAAAGAGAGTATGTGTCTAAATGCCATTGTGTTGTAGGGAAATGCCTCTCTGAGCCGAAACAAATAAAATAGGAAATACTTTTTCCCCCCATGAGAGACATGAGAGAGATGTGACATTTACGCTTTTTTTATGATCAGTTCCTCTGAGTTTTATGATGACAGATTATTTGTGCTGACAAACATCCCAGAGACTGATTCTGATGATAAAACAAGGCAAGGCTGTCGATTGTTACTTGCATCTCTTCAGAGGAAAAGAAGAAACTCTTTCAAACAGTTTCCTTTTAAAAGTTATTGTGTTTTCTCATTGGAGGTGACACATTTCCACTTTCACTAAGCATAAAGTACATCAGGGGCTTCCTCTTTGTTTCCAAACAGTATTAAATAACAGCAATTTGTAAGATTAACAAATTATACATCAGTTCTTAGTTTCTTCATCCAAGCTTGCAAAGCCACAGAGCTCAAGATGAATGTTTTTGAAGCAATCGTCCTTTAGAAAAACAAATCTATCTTTCATTTGTCCAGGCACAAAAGCCATTTATCCAAAAATGACAATAATTTAGTTTTTTCATTAGTTGGCAAAAGCAGAGTCCTAATAGAAGTCAAACATAAAATTCATCACTTATGTCAAATTAAGTTTATGAATGTGTCTCTGAGTGACATTTTACAGAGCTCTGTGTAGACTGCACAATAATCAGAGAATTTTTCTGCAGTGTTTGAAGTGGTGATGTGGCAGAAACATTGTTTAAAGAGAAAAATGAGGAAGGAAGGACGATTGAGACACTTACTGAGGAGAGCTGAGGAAGGAGCGGTCACTCAGCCAGCCGAAGAGGGGATCATTCAGACTGTTCCAGATAAGAAACACCGTCTGTGGAGCAGCAGAGAAGGTAGATTAATGGGGCGACGACTGCTATTTTATATCTATACTTACTGATAACTTCTCAGAGTGAAAATAACTGATGTTGGATGAATGTGGACATAGATGTCTGTCACCAGATTCCTCCAGCTATTTTCAACCCAAAGTTTTGTTTTTAAAAAAACTCTCCTGACTCTCAGCAACACTGAACTACATTTGTCCTGTAGTTGGCCTCAAAGTCAACATGTACAACACATTTAATTAGCTACAGTCCCACTCACCTCTCCCACCCAGAAGGAGATTTTATCAATCTTGTAGATGGACACAAAAGTCTCCACATAATAAAGCAGGAACACATTGTGGAGGATGGAGGTAAACAGGGCCAAAGATCCATAGAGCACTGCAGTAGAGAAGATGCCTTGCCAGAAGCCCCAAATGCTCCTTCCCATTCTTCTTTCTCAATCTCTCTGCTTCGTCCTTTCTCTTTGCCAAGCTGCAATCATCTCACGGCCTGGCCGAACCAGGGTCACCACCTCATCGTAGCCTGAAAAAACACAGCGGAAGTGGGTAAATTCACTGAGCTTCAACAAAAAAACAGTCTTGAGGCTATTGTGAGTTCAGTCCACGAAGTAAAGTGTATTCTCTCATCGCAACATTTGTGAGCATTACCAGAAGTTACTGCGTCTCCTTTGGGTTGAATCTCAGCATGAGCAACCCCAAAATAATAATAACATTCCTGCCTCCGTCTCCCCGCAGAGTTTGAGCAGACTAAAAGAGCGCCGTTTCTGTGCTGTAAGTACTCATTAAAGTGAGTTAGGCTGTGGGCCGCTGTTCCTTTCTCTTCTGTCCCACACCCAGCTGAGTGTTGCATGTGTGTGTCAGAGTACAACTGTAATTTATATGACCACTCCTCTAGCACTGCATCTTACTGTCCACATGAAAAGCTGTCCTCCTTCCCAGCAAAAGTACAAAAGAAAAGTCATATGATCGTGCTTTCAGGCTGAGTGTTTTCACGGCGCTTTATCACCCTTTGGGGTGCATTGTGACAGTGTTTTGAATGCGCCACACATTCTAACAAAGGCAAGTCTAGCTTTGAAATCACCTGTGAATTACTGTTTTTGTCACACCTACTGAAGACACAGTTTCCCAGAATGAATGCAAATCCCACATCAGCTTAGTTAATCACTGGCTTTGTTTCGCTTCCTTCTTGAAGTCCCATGTGCACACGTAGCACCCATGGGAGAAGAACTCATTTAAAAATACAGAGAAGGTTCCGACTTTACACCTGACGACCACAAGCTCAAACTTGCCCTGATCGACAAAACATCCTGCCACGACTTTGGGGTGGAAAAACATATGAAAGCTCAAAATAACTGTGTCCCAAAGCGATGTGATAATCAGACATAGTGGAGCGACTTAGCACAGCTGCAAGAACCTCAGCTTCATATCACGATCATGGTGAGATAGCCAACTTGGCCGAGGCGAGTTCCTTGGAGTGTAACAAAAAGCTTTTCAGCCGCTGTTCCTATCAGATCCAGGCAGGGAAGTGGGATGACTTTCAGCTGGCGGAGCCATATCACATCTCTTAACACGTATATATCATACCAAATCAGGTAGCAGGCAACAGGGCGAGACTATATCTACAAATATCCAATTCATGTCCTCTCAGCCACAGCACATTGAGAGCTGCTTCCACCTGTGGAGCACATTCTTGTCTGGGACACAGTCATGTGTACCTGTTGTGTTCACTCTGAAGTAGTGCTGAACAGTTAATTGATTTAAAAATGTGAAGAGCTGCAGGCTGCAATTTAAGATCAGACATTATGCAGCACATCGGATTCAATTATTATTACTAGTACTTTATTTAATTTGACTGTAGAATGTATAATACGTAGATGCTACTCCGAAACAAGGAATGACCTGCCTACTTCAATGTCAGATTGTTTATTAAAAAAAAAAAGGTCCTGTTATTTTCTTATTAGAATTACAGATTTTTTCTTATTATTACCACATTTATAAAACTCAACACCTTTTGTGATAATTGTTCTATCTTCTATGGAGTTTCAAAGATGGAATAATCAATATTTGAAGCAATTCTTATATTTAAGACCCCATCTTTGCATCAAAACATTGAACAGGTATTTTGAGAGTATCCCCTGTGATAATACAAAAAAATATTGAACTGATGCTGTAAAAAAAAAAAAAACTCCGTCACAAACGGCAATATTTGTCAGATAAATCACAACTAGATATTTTCCCCAATACATTCAAGCCTGCTCTGGAGGCCAAAACATATGGCGGCCAAACATAATGACTGAAACTGAGGATCTCAAGACAGTTCAGCAAAACAAACAGCCTTTAGTATATGCATCACTTGTTGCACACATTATGATTATACATGTGCTTGATATTAAATTTACTGGTGGCAAAAAATCCTGCTCAACATGAGGGCAAAACACTAAATTAGAAGGGCAGAGCACGCAATCAAGTCAAGCCACTCTTATTTATATAGCTGATTTAAGACAACAGCTGTTCAGTCAAAGTGAATTCCAGTACAGAAAAAAGCTTCAATTATTACCTTACAGTATAGTTTATTATAAGAAATTGCATTTTAAGATGAAAAATCCCTACAAAATAATTTAAAATACAAATTTACCTGACTAAAAATTAGGGCTTGGAGTACAATAATTTGAAATACGCAACTTTTTTTGATAAATTTAAACATTAAAGTTAATATGCTACGACATTATATATAAAGCTAATCAACTAACCGGTGTTTGCAAACTTCCTGGAAACACACAAGCAGGTAGGGATTTTATAGCATCCTATAAAACAAGCTGAAGGAGTTGTGTTACCATAAAAAATAGAGGAAAAGGCAGAATAACAGTGTTGACTAGCAGTGCCAGACTTATTTTTGCCAAACACCGAACACACAGTGACGGAAAAAGGCTTATAAACAAACGAGAAGTCATCAAACAAATTAGCATATCATTAACTCAGTACTATTATTAGCTAGTTAGCTCCTCAACCAGCTCGGTTTGTCGACTAAACTCGCACATATTCGACTACTATAACTACAACCAGCACCTCACCTGTTTTAGTTTATCAGATATCGATCCGCGGTTATCTTAAATGATTATCAGTTATCGGTTTTATTGAACGTAAAGCAAACGGTTAGCGCTAGCTAGCCTTATTAAGTGCTAGCATTAGCTCGCTAGATAACGCAATCAGGCTGCATATCGAGATAAACAAACTGACAACGAGCTTCAGGTGTGTTTACAACCGAGCAAAAAAACGTGTTACGTACCGACAAATAAAAAAAGAGGCTGATATTCAGGCAGGATAGACCGTGTCTGGCTCGCCGGGAGGCTGGCTTGTCGGCTCGGCAGCTGTTCCAGACAGCCCACGTCAGAATAACTACAGTCGGTTACTCGCAGCCGTGACGACTGTAGTGGATTTGTAGTGGATTTCCCTGAATTGTAGACACGCAGATAAGAGCTGCAGCGCCACCCAGAGCCGCCCAGACCACAAATACAGTCACGATTTCAATACGACACAGAATTATTCATACTCAAGACAAATGTAGATTTATTTAATTTGACCAGTAACCTTCTTCTGACAGGAAATGACACAAACTAGTGACAAAACACTGCAAGATGCTGTGTTAGAGATGTTAATTATATGTTTTTGCTGTCTAAAATAATACAAAATAAAATAAAAAAATGCAATCTTCAAAAATATTCATATCAAATTTTACCTTTTGATGCATTTTTATATAACCAATGGGTTGCTTCTGGCTAGAAATGACATAAACAAGTGATATATGATGGGGAGGGTTGTGTTAAAAATACTGTTTTTGTTTGTTTGTTTGTTTGCTTGCTTGCTTTTTGGCATATCACAAAATTGTTCTTACCAATGCCAGATTTTGATTTACAGTGATTTTTTGGGGATTTTTAAAAAATCCAGTAACCTTCTTCTGGCTGGAAATGACATAAACTAGTAATAAACACTATAGGATGTTGTGTAAGAGATGTTAATAATACTTTTTTTTCCTATTTATTTTACTTTTCAAAAATAGTCATTCCAAATTTTACTTTATGATGCCTTTTTTTTTATAACCAGTGGGTTGCTTCTGGCTAGAGATGATATAAACAAGTCATATATGATGGTAAGTGTTGTGTTAGAAATACTATGTTTGTTTGTTTTTTTTGACAGATCACAAAATTCTTCTTACCAATGCAAAACTTTGATTGATGAGGATTTTCTAGTTGTCTAATCATTGTTTTCTGCGTCACACCAGAAATACAGTCATGATTATAATACTACACAAACAGTTACACCCAGAATTAATAATACTCATGCCAAATTTTGATTTATAGCGATTTTATTTTGTTTCACCAGTGACTTTCTTCTGGCTGAAAATGATCTAAACTAGTGACAAAACACTAAAACATATTTGTTTTACCTTTCAAAAAAATAAAATGAAAATTCTGATGCATTTTTATATAACCAATACCAATGCTTCTGGCTGGAAATGACAAGTGATATATGATGGTATGGGTTGTGCTAGAAATATTATGTTGTTTGTTTTTCTGGCATACCACAAAATTGTTCGAACCAATGCCAAACTTTGACTGATGGGGATTTGTTTAGTGACTGAATGGTTGTTTCCTGTCAGGGAATGCTATAAACATGTGACAAAAGACTGCAAGAAATTGTATGAGAGTTGTTAGAGAGGTGTTATTAATGAATTTAAACTATTTCTGTTGTTGTTTTTTTACATCCTTATTTGTGCTGTCTATGGATGCCAACTGAAGAGAACGCCACATCTCTAAGACTAAAAAAGTTTGCCCAGCCTTTGCAAAACCTTGTGTGTACAAAGAAAAAAAGGTTTTATCAGATAAAAATTGAATTGTTTGGACACACGGACGTGGCTTTCATTTTGCAACGCCTTCATGTGCCACCACAGCAATCAAACAGTTCTTCTAATTACAAACAAGCTCTCTGCATGGCTCCACTAGCATTTTGTTCCACCTCCTCTTTGTGATGATCTCCAGGTCTTTGGAGTCAGAAGACTACTTTGCCATCACTGTGGTCTTCAGTTCCCTCCACAGACTCTCATTAGATTAAGATCTGAACAGTGGCTGGGATGCTCCAACATGTTCACATTCTTTTCTGCTAATATTTCTTCACCTCTCTGGCTGCTTGTTTTAGATCATTGTCTCATTGTAAGGTCTAATGCTGCCCATGGTAGTGATGTGTCATGCACAACACTGAATCACAGTGAATCAGCTGGACCTGCTGAGGAACAGCTCAGGTCTGCTGTACAGACTGAAGGACTCCCAGAGCGCCAGTAAGATGAAAGGTTCAGACAAGTCGAGCGAGAGTCGGCTCCCGACTTTTTTTTTTTTTTTTCACTGCTCAGTGGCTCAGCTCAGCTCATGGCAGAACTTTGTTTTGATTGGCAGCATGGTGGTCTTGTGGCCAATCACATGTAAGGATTTAGTGCCACAGCTGATGTTATAATGGAGATGTGATGCTATCTTGAGGAGCCCCTCATCCAAAGAGCAGAAGACCCACTGAGCTGGTGGCAGGCCAAGGCTTCAGTCTTCCCCCACCTGGTGAAGGTGATGGAGAGGAGACTGTGTGTTGTGGCAGCATGTGTTCCCTCTGAGAGAGTCTTCTCAGAAACAGGGCAGATAATATCCAAGAGGAGAAACCACATCAGCCCAGCCAAGCTGAGACATTTACATTTTCTGAATGCAAACCTACACTAAGGACATAATGTTTGGTGTTTGAACTGAGTTTTGTTCTGTTTCTGTTCTGTGGGTTTGTTTGCAGTGTTTTGTTCATTAGTTTTCATGTTAAATTAACATTAAAAATACACAAAATTAAGCCACCATAAGGCTTCTCATAAAAACACTACATTCAGAGGGGTTTATCAACACAAAGCATTCATATTTGCCAAGTTAGGCTAAATTATGAGGCTACAGATGATAATAAATTACGAGCCATTTGGGAGCAGAAAGAGCCGGCTCTTCTTTGGGAGCCGTGCCATAAGAGCCGGCTCTTTGAAAAGACCAAACTTCTCATCACTAGCCCATGGACAAATTTTTCTGCAGTTTTCTTACAGTTTTTTCTAATGATGCAGTTTGCTTTGACGAGGTTGCCTTCCCCCGACGGCTGAAAAACATCCCTACAGCTATACATTCCTACCACCACGCCTGACTGTTAGGACAGTGTTCTTGGGGTTGAATGCTTCCTCTTTGTTTCTCCTAATGACAGCCAGTGTGTCTAAACAGCTCTGTTTTCGTCTGATCCGACCGCAGAATTGATCACTAAAAGCTTTCTTCTTTGTCTTGGTGAGCTTTTGCAAAGGCTATGAAAGCCATTGTGTCTTGGAGAAATAAAGTCCTCAGTAGTAGGCATCTGTGGAGGCCAGCTTGTTGCAAAATCTACTTGAGGGTCTGACTGAGATTTTGCAACCAGAATACTTTCTTGCTGCTCGTCCTTGGATTGTTATTGGCCTCTTGCAATACCATTCTTCCTGGTGCAAGGGTCACTTTTAACTTCCTACCACAGCCTTGTACTTGCTGGTTTTGCTTTGCACTGTGGCCACTGGCACTCCGAAACACTTGGATTTGGCTTTTCCCATCTTGTGAGCAGCCACACAGAAGCTTTTGTTTTCTTAAAAATGTGACAATTTCAATGGGTATGAACAATTTTGAACATGGTTTTTTATTAAAAGTATAAAACAACAACATAAAAATTGTTAAAGCTTATCATTAACATCTCTTTACATGATGTTTTGCCAAATTTTGTCTTTTGTTTCTGTCATTTCCAGCCACAAAAAGCCGATTGATCAGTCCAAAATTCAATATAAATCTAAATTTAACACAGTTCAACTGTTTGACATTAATTGGTTTTTCAATTGTTGCTTGCTGCCAGTCATGGTAAATATATTTAATGAAGTGGTTGTTGTGCCCAAGTGCAATTTTAAGCTGCTTTTCTTGAATATTTGCTATTTCAGAGGAGACTTGAATGTTCCCTACATTTATCTTAAAGCTATACTTGATATTTTTCAGGTGAAGATTTTTACTTGAAACACACAGTATGATAAGCAAATAAAATACATTATTTATTTAAAATGAAACCAGTGGTTTCCAGTCTTTTTGGCTTGTGACTGATCAGAAAATAATGCATCTCAGCTCTATATGAGCTCCATATCAGTTCCAGCATAGAGCTATTGGAGGCCCAGTGAGGTAAAATGATTAAACATTTCACCAAAGCATAGATAAAAACGTGCAACAGCAGATTTTTTTCCCCTCCTTTTCTATTCCATTATTCACCTCCCAGTTTTATCTAATGACCCACGAAGAACTCATGAAACATTTAATAAATAGAAGTGTCCTGTTAAATTTCCATGCTTCATTTGTGCCCTAGATCAGTCTTCCTCAATACTATGTGTGTGTCCCCGTTGGGTTTCAAGATAAACGTGAAGTGTCCAAGATGAATAATATTGGATAATTTCCCAAATTTAGGCTTCGTAAGATTCTTGGAACGAAAGAGTCAGGAAGAGAAGGATCCCCTGTGAGGAGGGTCAGTAGATGGAGCCTCATTTTAAGGGCCTGTTACAGTATTAAGGAAGGCTTCACACAAAATGTCATTACCACTCACGATACTGGTAGACTTTGAAAACATCTGGAACAAAATTAAGCCCATCCTTTTTTGTCAAATCCTGTCTAACTCTCACAAAATCTAATAATCTATCTATAGCTACCATTTAACTTTGAAGTAGATTTAATGTGTTGTCAGGAGGAGAAAGCACGAGTAAATGAAAGGGACATGTTCTTCTCTTTAAGAGAACGTGGCTAAACAGGGATAAGCTTTTTAGCATATATTTGGGGGTAAAAACTAACAAAGAATATAATGTGAAAAGTAATGGATGCATGGAGATAATGTTAAAAGTATTTGCGCACAGGAAGTCTGGATCAGCTGATTGAACAGTTCAAAGCAGAAAATGTGAATAAAGTTTGCTCAAAGTTATTCATTGAATGCGCATCAATGGAAATACTCATATACTCTGATTATTTTGTGCTCTTCTGGTTTGGTTTGTCCCTAATACAACTACATAAACCTTTACACAAGCCTTATTATATGCATCTACACTTCATTTAAAGGGGCTTCTGATTGAGCTTGCAATATAATATAACTCTGAAACTATTTCTAACTACATGTTAAAGGTAACATGCATTTGACTGTCTGTATTCCGAACCACTTCGCACTTCAACATGGCAAGTTTACTTAATTTAAAATAAATGTATTTATATATAAACAACTGGAGCTAACCAAAGTGCTGCACACGTCACAAGACAGTAAAATATATTTGCAGCTAAGTGAGACAGAAAACAGAATAACACTTGTAAAAATAAACATAATAGGAATATTTCATTGAAAGAGGACAGATATTCTAAATAGACCTTTGAATAGTTGTCAAATTTTGTTTGTTTAGCCAGTAAAGTTCCAAATTGATGCATTGAAATACGTTTGTTTCTCATTTCAGCTCCTACATCAGTGATATAGAACAGGGGTCTCGAACTCCAGTCCTCGAGGGCCGCAATCCTGCAAGTTTTAGATGTTTCCCTCTTCCAACACACCTGATTCAGATGATCAGCTGATCATCAAGCTCTGCAGAAGCCTGATAACGATCCTGATCATTTGAATCAGGTGTGTTGGAAGAAGGAAACATCTAAAACTTGCAGGATTGCGGCCCTCGAGGACCGGAGTTCGAGACCCCTGATATAGAAGCTCTGAGAGATTGTTGGACCATGTGAATATTCTCTTTCAGTCCCTGTGTTATCTGATTTCCAAGAAAAACTCAGAGAAACAGCTTCTGGATTGAGAGAGAACTTTAGAAATGACCTTGTTCATGGCAATATATTAAAATGTATAGATATGTGACATGTGTACGATAAACCATTGTCATAAAATATCCATGATGATAATAAATAATACAGCAAATAAGTGGATTTGTGAAGGTGTTAAGTGGGCACAGAGGGAACAGAAAACAGACAAAGCCTTGAATTTGGGGCATTCCATGTATTTTCCAGCAGGGGTCAGTCACAGATCACACAGACTCCAGGTAGTTCACTGACAGCAGAAAGCTGCCTGCTGCTGTTTCCAGGCAAACTGAAAAACAATGCTGTAATAATAATAAAGAAATGCAGCCTGAAAAGCTGCAGAAATGTGTGTGGTCTTCACAGCCCTCTGTACTTTGTGCTATTAAAAACTTATACACAACCTTAATCAAACAAGATAATGAGATCAAAGTTTAAAATCACAAGTAGCTTATCCCTGAGGCAAATTACAGCTATATTATTTATCATCTTAGAAATATTTATGCATAATGTGTTATTTAAGGTTAAAAAATGACACTAAAAAAATAGAATGTTAATGTTAAATATATCCAACATAACTCAAAACGAGACCAAAATAAGTTAAATGTGTCCAAAATGACTAAAAGGGTGTTCCAAATTATTTTAAAAGATTTAATAACTGTCCTAAACGACTTAAGATTCGTCCAAAATGACAAAAAATCTGCCATAAAAGACTAAAATATGTAAAAAATGACCAAATAAAATGTCCAAAACGATTGGAAACGTGTCCAAAATGAACCCAAAACTGTCCAAAATGACTCAAAAATATATCCAACGTGAGTTAAACTTTGTCCAAAACCTGTCCAGTATGAATCAAGATGTGTCCTCAACTATCCAGAATTAAATGATAATGAATGGAGGAGAAATAAAGCAGAGGTGAAATGAGGAAATGGTCGCAATATATGAAATCAGCCTGCGTGTGTGTGTGTGTGTGTGTGTGTGTGTGTGTGTGTGTGTGTGTGTGTGTGAGTGAGGGTGGGTTGTGTTTCAGCATTGGGTAACTGCAGCAGCAGCAGCAGAGCAGCAGAGCAGCTCGGTGTTTGGTCGCTGAAAGGACGACTCAGAGGATTTTTAGAGGAAAAGCTGCGAGGAAACAAGAGCAGGTGAGTGAGTCCTGGCTGTTTTCTTCTTCTTCTTCTTCTGTCTTTTTTGTTTTTTCTACGTTTTTTTCCCTGCACCGCGTCTCCTACTTTTCTCTGTTCATGGATGTGCAGCGCTCAGGTGAAGGTGACTGAGCGGCGCGCGGCGCTGCTGGAGCCGCTCAGTGCTGCAGTCCAGGTCGGACAGGTGCACATGGCTGGATGCGCCCACGTCCGGAGCCCAAAGCTGCACACACACCATAGAAAATCCCGGAAAGTTCAACGCAGCTATGCATTTCTGCTCCTGCAATCACTTGTTTTGCCAAGTTAAATCAACATTGCGTGGAATGTCTTCATATGTCTGTTGTTGTTGTTTTAAAATTAACCTTTAAAACCATTTGTTAACCCTTTTCTAACCGTTTTTCAACCAAGAACAAATAATAAATAGTTTAAGTAGTGTTCGTTTTATTGTTATTATTTAGGAAAAAGCTAAATGAATCCAAGAAGCAGTGTGGCGCTGCAATGATTAATCGATTAATCAGTTAGTTGTCAACTATTACATTCATTGTTAAGTTTGGCTGCCTGATTAAATTGATGAAGATGTTAAGTAATAGTATAAATACCCTATATTCTATTGCATAATGTAAAATGTATTCCAAGTCTTATTGCAAGTAAAGCTTTATTGATAATATTAATTAATCATTTAAATAAGCCATTGATTAATTAGTTGTCAATTATTACAACATTTTTTGTTTAACTATGTGAATAGTTGATTTATCCGTTTGAGTATTTTTTTTTTTTTAAAGAAAAAAGTTAAAATTCTCTGATTCCAGCTTCTTAAGTGTAAATATTTTATTTCTTTTTGTTTGCTTTTTTTTCCCTCCTCTGGACAGTAAATTGAAAATCTTTGGTTTATGGACAAAACAAAACATTTGTCATCTTGGATTTTTTTTTACAATTTTCCGATATGTTATAGACAAAAGGAGTAATGATCAATCGGGGACAATAATAGTCAGACTAATTGAGAGTGAAGATAATTGTAGGTTGCGGTTCTAGAGCAAGCTGCTACTTCTTATGTTCTTCATAAGGTGTAACCAGGGATTTTTTTTCAAATCATTATTAAGTCTTATAGTTATTAAATTAATAACTATTAAGTTTAGTAAAGCTTTGTAGATCAGTTCAAGCGCTTAATAAGTTTGGCTGCAATGTGTATGAGCATTTCGTTGTTGTGGAACGTAACGGTGGAGCTAATTCTAACAGATTTTTATACTTTTGGACACTTTAATCTACAGAAATCTGCATATTTTATGGTGCCTCACATGTTTTATGTTAATTTGAGACTTAACTTGTCTCAGTATTGTTAGAAAAATGTATACAAAAAGGTTGTCCTTACAAATATAGAACCAATCAAATGCACATTATGTAATTTCTGCCTAAAGGTCTCGCAATCAAAACTATAACGAATGATGTAGTTTGATGATGTCATGAAGAAGTGAGGGATCATGGGAGTTGTTGTTGTCTTCACCACCATTCCCTTTGAAAGTCTATCTAATGTGACTCATGTTCACGGATGAAGTGATGAATTAGAACTTTGTTCCTAATACGTTTAGTCACATTGTGTCATTTCTGTTTTAATGAAATAGCTGCAGGTAATGTCAGTGACGCTAACTGCTAATTTACCATCAGATGAGTCGACTACCGTGGCTAACGTTATGTGGTGAATCAGTCGGGGGATCAAAACAATGATACTAAAATATTAGTGATTCATCAAGAGTGAGCGATACAAAAAAAAAGAGTGGCTAGCTTGCTAGTTAGTGGACTTTGTCATCTTTCTTCTGTGTCATCCTGTTGTCTGTAGGGGCTAAAGCAAGCATGGCCTTTGGCAAGTGACCAAAATTACAGTTACACTAAAGAAAATGATGGATTTCTTTGGGTTTTCACATTGTTGTAAACAGCTGGAATAACTACACAAGTAATGAAAACATAACGATGGGCTGTTATCCATTGCTGGAGTTATTTTAGGGCGACCCACCCTTTGTGCATGTTCCACCTTCAAGAACTGCCCCCGTAGAACCTCTTTCAGGGACGTTCTCGGGGAAGAAAAGAGTACCTACTCCACTGACCCTGAAACACTACTGCGCAGATCTCAAAGCTGATTTGTTAAACTCAGAGACGACAACCATTTTTCTGCTTGTCTATGCCGTCTTCTCTTCCCAAGCATTGCCTTCATCAACTGAGAACTCACCATGTAGGCCAGGGGTGGGCAATCCTGGTCCTTGAGGGCCACAATCCTGCATGTTTTAGATGTTTCCCTCTTCCAACACACCTGATTCAAATGATCGGGATCGTTATCAGGCTTCTGCAGAGCTTGATGATGAGCTGATCATTTGAGTCAGGTGTGTTGGAAGAGGGAAACATCTAAAACATGCTGGATAGGGGCTCTCGAGGACCAGGATTGCCCACCCCTGATGTCGGCTAACAAAGCAAACCTCCATTGTTCTTTTTCCTATGCGCTTTTGGAACTGGAGTTATGTCCAGGAGCATTTATTCATTGTTATTTTGGCGTGCTTGACATTGACGTTGCAGTTGAAGCTGTCAGATCAGTGGAAACAGAGAGGCTGAAACGGCAGATTAGGCCCATTTCTGCAGAGGAAAGCAGCTTGTTGATCTATTCAGTATCAGCAGTAATTATACATATTATAGCTTTGAGTGTAAAGAAGCATGAAAAGTCAAAAAATTCTACTTAAGTCAATGTTATTTTTATTTCATAGCTGCTGGAGTGGAATCATTTTCAAAGTAATCCAATAAACTTGCTAATTGAACATCAGGACAAGTTAGTGATACGTCTGAAACAGTGTGACTTTGGTAAATGGTTCTTAGTGACTAATCAGATCTTGCCACTATCAATTAAAGACGAACCTAAAGGGCTAAAAACTGGCTCCCAGCTATATTAGCAGTTCATAGAGTAGAATAAAATAGAACTTTATTGATCCCTTTGGTGCAAACCTCAGGGAAATTGTTGAAATATAGCAGTTGTGAGTTTTTACTCATAATCGCTATATGAAATAATAGTACTTAAGCCATTTACAAACCATTTATGAAGCCTTTTGTTCCACCTTGTATGCTCACAAAAAGTGGCTCCAGTGTCTGAAGAGTCTCATCTCTTCAATCTCTCTGATTCAGATGGGCACAGGAGGTTAAGTATAGAGAGAAGCACAGTGTTTATGATGGATTTTTAGAAAACTTTACGTTGAAATTAGCCTAGCAGTTTTATTTACACATCAAAACAGACACAAGCAGAACGGTACACTGCTCACTGTGCATATGACTCAATAAAAGATGGTGGTTGGAAAGAATTGTAGCTAAAGCTTTTAAGAGTTAATGTGCCTTATGAGTTGTAAGACAAAGTTAATTTCCTTATGCGCCATAAAATAGACTTTTTGAACGTTATTTCATCAAAATGTGGAGAGTTCTGACCTAGAAATGCTTGAGCTTCATCGTAAAGTTTCAGCCTCTGTCATCAAGCATTATAGTGTGTAGTGGATGATTTGAAAAGTAGCTCAAGCAGCAAGCAGAAGAAAAGCCTTTTTGAATGCTTTACCTCACTTTATATTTAGCCATTAGAGCCTCAAGAAGTCATTACACATTCTTATGTGTGAGTGGGATGGCATGACCTCAACTGAGCTCTTTTATGGCTCGTAGTATGTCTTTTCAGAATAAACAGAGGCAGATTATTTATATTTATATCCCAGTGAACGTGGCCCACAGCGTGAACCCACTCATTCTTCGTTTATTGTGCGACTAATCTCATTTATGGTCCAGCTGTGTGCCAGATCTCACTGCTACAGAATTAATAAGAGAGAAATGTAGAAATATCACATTCAAGTGTGACATATTGTCCATAATGCATACCCCGTTAACAGCACAACAGTAGTCAAAGGTGTAATGGTGCGTTTTGCATTTTAAGAGGCATCATCTAAATGTTTTATTGACCTCTCTGCAGAAATGTCAAGATACTTATTTTGCAAATCATTCTGCGCCGGCCTGACAGGTGCTCATATTGGAAAACAGTTACATCATACTTTGCAAAAACCTTTCCGGAGACTAGTAATGACTTCATTATAGGATGTTTGACGAGCACCAAATGGCAGAAACCAACAGTAGCTGAAATTAAAATGTCCCAGCAGGTGTTTTTTTTTTTTTTTTAGCTCTACGAATCAATAAGCGGAAAGAAATTGAGTAAAAAGGTGTTTTGGTCGCTGCCTGCTGTTTTGTTCAATTCCTCTTGTCTCCCCGTCATGCGTGACGCATTGTTTGTGCCACCGCAATGGCAGATGTGTTTACTCTTCCCTCCTGGAGTTATCGTGCTTTTCGTAACACGGTGCTGTCAACGCCATGGCGAACAGAGCCAATGCAGATGTGTTGAGACAATGGCGTGTTTGCTGCGTGTTGCATGAGGGCAGCAGATGACAAAAGCGCAAGTAAAAAGGGGGGCTTCTCGGCAGCAATTCGTCTGATGTCCTCTGTTTTGTCACAGTTTTGTCAGACAATGGTTCTGGAGGTGTTCGCAGTAGCACTCATCAAACAAGACTCGCTGCTGTTCTCTCTTCACTCGCGATGACAAAGGGAAACTGCTCTGATTTTACACATCAAAGTCTGTGTACAGGTCTTGGTGGAGCAACTAACGCATGTGTGAGACAGTTTTCTTGGCTGGTTGAGTCTGATGAGAGCAAGTTTGAAAACACAGTAAATAGGGAGGTGTGGATTTATGAAGAAGTGACCTCTGTAGCCCGGTTCTCAGCACTTGCAGCTCAAGACTTTATCCACTGTTGTGGATAATGCAGGTCCCAAGGTTTTGAAAGAAGAGGAAAGTGTGGAATTAAAGAGATTCTATCTGATTCTACTGCATTGTTTTTTTGGTTTTTTTGTTCAGTATCAATGCAGGTCTGACTCTTTAAGAGTGCAATGCTAAATCTGTTTTAAGGCTGTCTATATGGTGCAAACTTGTGATATACTGTCGATTCTCCTCCATCACATGGTTTTGCAGTCGATTGCGATCATCATACTGCAGATCTTCACCGTGATTCAAGTCAGGCTTACAAAAAAAAGTATGAAACAGTCCAGCCAGCATCACAGGCAGGGGCACCACTTGTATGTTGTTTGACGGGAATCCAACTTCTGATGGATCTTTATTTGTCCTTGTAGGTTTGAAATCAGTAAAGCTTTGATTTGGAAATAAGGGTTTTATTGACTGTGTAGCTCTGGAGGTGAAAGGAATCCTGCAAATGCGATCACCTCTTACTTTTGTGTTTGTGGGACAAATTTAGGGGTAGACCAACTGTCAGGCTGACCGACTATTGTAGCTGATATCTGGCGTTTTTCTGATTATCGGTATTGGTATTTTTATTGGCCGATTATTGATTAAAAATGCACGACTTTAGTTGATGCAGCCTCCTCTCTCTGTCTGTCGTCACTTTTTGATCTCAGAAATGTCTCTCCAGCAGAGATTGAAAAAACTGAACAAGAAACACAAACCAGGAAATTAGCTCCTCTCACAGTAGCTAAGGCTCGCTATCGGCTAAGTTAGAGGGCAGCCACAAATTACCATCAAACAGTCTGGAAAACAATAATTAATAGTGCTTTAAAATATGCAGCGTAATTAGTGGGCAGTAAAAAGTGATAAAAGGTTAAGAAAATAGAGAAAACAGGAGACCTAACTGCAGGAGACAAACTGATCAATCTTGCTCGATCACACCTATTTCTTTTTTACATGTTCAGTTATAGTCACCTTTGTTAATATATATTGGTTCCAAATATCGGTTACCTGTCTTTCTTGATGACCAACAATCTGCATCGATATTGGCCCTAAAAACAACAACAAATCCATGCCAGTTGATCTCCGGACAGAATGCATTCGAGGTGTTTATTAGTGGCTCCATTGTTGTGATTAAGGTCAGCAAAATTATTCAGAAATAGCAAGAGCTCACTAACCGTATGTTGCAGAAAACTATCTGTCTATCACATGCTAACTTGAGCTGTCAGCTACCAGTAGTTCCTCACAGGACGCTAACTCGTCTGAACTGCTGTGGTTAAGGCCACAAGTGCTTAGCCTGAAGCCTGGCAGGATGGATTGTCACGTTATCTCATGAATCTCATGAGAATCCAGCTGCCTCAAGCAAAAATCCAACACTGACCAACGATGAAGGCAGTTTTGTTTTCCATTTGAGTGTTTGTTGTTGTGGTTTAATGTAGTAATCTTAATTTACAGTTCGCTTACTGGGTTTTTCTGGAGGCTTCAATCACATCTTATCATCGTTGTTATCATGAGACAATGGTGCATTTTTTCTTTTTCCGCTAAAAATGTATTATCTCTGTTTCTTAGAATAAAAGCTTTCCTGAAACTGGCACTCGATAAATCTGAAATACATAAATATAATATTAGCAAATTTTCTGCAAGGGCTCCTCACCTGAGCCACATTAAGTAAATACATCCGGTTAAGGGGATCCCTTCACCACACCTCTACCTCCTCCCCATCTCTTCTCCTGCTTTGTCATTTGACAGGATAGTTTCAGAGCTTCGCACCCAAACTGCTAACAGAGGGGTCATGAGCCTCATTGTGAATCGGCGCTGTGAGTGATTAGCAGCAGCAGCCGTGGAGATTTAGCTGGGAATTCTCCAGTGTCACCGTGCAGCAGAGCGGGATTCACAGCGCTGACCCTTTGATCAGTGACAGAGCCGGAGAACGGGCAGCCAGGCGGAGATTGTGCTGATGGCATGCGGCCTAATCTCTAGATTATCCATCATGCTGCTCCAGTGTGCACACAGCTAATTAAGAGATGGAGTTGCGTGTTGCAATATCGCAGCGCAGGGGTGCGTTACTTAACTTCGCAAAACTTTTTAAATGGTGCTTTTATGTAACCGCACCTCAGCCATTGTCTTTGACTAATTGGCTGTAATCAGAGGGCGATGATGCACATCAGCAAGGAAGTTTCTCTGCATGACTTCAAGCTGGCAAGAGAAGCTATTCATGGCAAATTGTATTAAGGTTTATTGTGGAAGTTTTGATCACCATTTATGTCTGTTTCTGTTACACATTGGGGGCATTACGGACAGATTTGTATTACCTGTTTTGTGGTGATTTTATTAGAATCCATCCATCCATCCATCCATCCATCCATCCATCCATCCATCCATTATCTATACACCGCTTAATCCTCACTAGGGTCGTGGGGGGGCTGGAGTCTATCCCAGTTGATTTAGGGTGAAGGCAGGGGACACCCTGGACAGGTTGCCGGTCAATCACAGGGCTACACAGGGCACTTTACGGAATTTTTTAAATCCTAATTTCAATTTTAATTGTATATTTTTTCTTATTATTTCTCTTTCTTTATTTCTATTGGCATACAACTGGGCCCTGAGTACTAATTTCGTGCCATGTCATGTGGAAACGTGTCCTGGTATGACAGTAAAGAATCCTTGAATCCTTGAATGAAAATAATTAAGTACATTTACTCAAGCACGATGCTTATTTACAGTGTTGCAGTGCTTTGTCTGCTGCTTTTTACACCTGCTATATTAAATTTCAATGAAAATTGTGCACCCTTCAATGCACTACAGTAGTTTAAAATGTATGCTAACTGTTACCATTGTAAATAATAAAAAACAGTTATATCTTTTTGCTCTCCACCAAATGGATGACATTTATTTTGAGACCCACTGGAGGAGGTCCAACCCTTAGTTGAGGAACCACTAAACACTTTATTCTTCTCATATAATCTATTCACAAGTGCTGGTTTTACTGTATAATGAGGCTACATTAACTAACCGTTTAGTATATTTTGCAGATAAAACTTTTTCTTAAGTAAAGGATGGGAGATTTTGAACATTACCAATGAATACAGTACAGTCTATCCCCTCAGGTTGGAGAGCAAACATTCTTTTTGTTCTTAAGCGACTGATTTCAGTTCCACCCCAGTGCAACAGTATCTAGTTTAGTATGCTGGATCATTTCTATTTTACTTATACGCTCTGTTTTTCTCTTTCTCTGCACAGACCGAGTGTGTTCTCAGCTGGAGACTGCATCCGCTTGCTGCTGGACCCGAAGACACACAATTTACACAGTCAGACTTTCTCGTGTGTGACAAATTGAGCCTGTGCGAGGCTGTGCTTGGACCCGGGTCTGCGTGTTCAAACATGGGAGACCAGAGATCAGTCCAGCCCCTCCTGCTCCTGCTGCTGCTCCTGATGCTCCTGAACAGACTATCACAGCTGTGGGCCTTCCCCTTCAGCCCGTCCCTGGACCTGGATGTCACTCCCAGGACGACTGTCTTCTCCAAAGGTTAGGGGCAAACAGGATTTTAAACTGTGAGAGGCACCGTTGTAGCTGAATGCAAAGTGCAGAGTGAAGAAATTTGGTAGAGATACTGTGGGAGCTAAAAGGGACAGGTGCAGTGTTCCAAGTTAGTTACTGTAATTTAGTCTGATGGTTTGCCAGCATGGTCAGCAGTAGTGGAAATCTAGTTCTTGGAAGCAGTCAAGGTACTTAAGCTACTTCTTCTTCCCTTAATCTCATCAAATTTGAACACACATCTCAGATTCATCGTCACTTATACTTAGATATCTTCATCTCCTATGGCTGCTTTAAATACACACCAGTAAATCTGCTTAGACATCATGGAAAAAAGATACTCAAAATGTAGCTGAGAATCACAAGATCATGTTTTCCTACGTGTCAAAGCAACCCAGTGAAAACTGTCTTGCTTTAAATAGTGCCAATTTACCAAAATGTGAACGCTTACTGCCTTAATATGCAGGGCTCCGGTTGCAGCCCGCAGTCTTCACTTAATGTGCAAGTGGCAACATTAGATTCGCTGTTTACATCCCTCAAAGCGTAATGGCAGCAGCAGATGCAAAACGTGGCAACATGATTATCGCCTAAAGAGAAATAAGACAAAGAAGCGACGAAGCCCGCTGAATTTAATACAGGGAGCGGATGTGGTGCATTGTATTCGTCTGGAACATGTCTGGAGGGAGGTTCACGGTGTCAAATTTGCGAAAACCCCTGTTCTAGATGCATCGATGCAAACGCACGTGCATGAGCTCACCAACACCGGCTTCCATCCCCTCCCCTCCCTCCCCGCCACCGTTAAAGAAGTGGCACAGTTTTCGAAGTTGGCCATGAAGACAGCTCCTTCATGCTCCGAGTTATTAATCGCCTCTCTCATGCCCTGTCCTAGATCACACGGCTCAGCAAACACTTCTAATGAAACAATAGACAAGAGGCCTCCATAAAAGCGAGTAGACCTGATTAGTGTCCGTGCTGAAAATACTGCTGAATAGGTGTGTTTTGCCACAGAGTGAGTATTTACACACATCATCAGAACCACCGGCTCACCTTTCCCTCCTCCCTTTTTTCCTCGCTTCCCATCACTGCGGCAGAGGCTACCGACGCAGCTGCAGCCAGGAGGGAACTCCGGCGCTGTTAGGACTGGATGGCAGCGCTCTTACCTCACTCCACCCCTCTCCACTTTCCCTCCTCTCCAGTCCTCCGAGGACGAGTATTATTAGCGGACGGGTGGAGTGAACAGGGACCCACTCTTTTGCCAGCCGAGCTCTCCGGCGCAATATCACAAGAGCTGTTGAGAGTGTTGCAGTGCAAGATGATATTTTGGAGGATACGCCGCTTGACGTTCAGAATCACAATCACTCAGAGATGAGAGCATAACAGAGGAGGGGCCACTTCGTATTGTGTGTTTGCTGCTTGGAGAGCATGATTATGTTGTTTGCTTTCTGCTGGAGAGAGAGGAAATCCTCCTTCAAGGTCCAAGTTTTGCCTCACAATGCACTGATTTGTGGAGCTGTAGAGAAATATTGAGTGAAAAGTATTTATGGAAGACTCTGCAGAGCTAAGAACTGCACAAATATTGAATGCAGCACTACTTTTATAGCAACTATTGTGTGGAGATGTTTACAACAGCCACAGGGGAGACGAAGCCCCCGGACCGATGACTGATATCAGTTGGTTATTTATCAAACAAATGAAAAGGGCACACTCGATTGACTCCGAAGAGTTCATCACATCGGACTCCACGTACAATTTATTAAGCCTCATTAAGTAAGTTTGTTAGTGCATCATGGAGAGAAGTAATTGTCTGTTCTGAAAACCTCCTTCCAACTGTCACGCTTCTGGCTATTTATTTACACATCTCTGCTTCGGATTATAAATCATACATACTGTGGGCACTTCTCTCTGTGCTGCAGCCAGAGCCGGTCTTTCATTACAGATTTTATTTTTCCCTTTGCCCTCGTGGAAAGTTGTCCTTGACCTACTTTTTAATCATCAGAGGAGGCATGTGAGAGTGCAGGGTGTGCATGTGTGTCAGCATGCGTTTCATCACTCTCGTGCGGATGTGTGCCGTTTGGCCGTGCATTTGGTGCCACGTAAAATCTGCATCCCACCTCCTCAGTGCAGACACATGTCAGCGGGGAGGATGAGGAAGAGGCGAGTTCCTTCTCACAAAGATGATCTGTGGGTGTCACTACCTATGGGAGACTCTGTGGGAGGACTTATGTTTCTTAGCCGGGTGAGGGGGCGCTCATTAATTTACAGTATGCTTTACTGACGGCTCGCTTGAGTGGGAGTACAAGGACATGGTGCATCAGGGGGAGCACAGCTTTATAAGAAGGAAAATCACACAAGATGATTTTATGCAGTCGTGGAAGGAAGCCAAAGGAAAGAAAGACACGGTTCTAATAAATGTTTCTATCCGATGAGTGATGCTGAAAGTGTGGTATTTATCACCGAGAGCTGCGCTAATCATTTTTTCTTCTTATTAACTATAAAGTAAATGATTAAATATAATGTGAAACTGGCAGCTTATACTGACAAACTCAAAAAGAATTATCACCTGCAAGTCTGCAGTTTCTCTCAGCTCTGTGGACCTTTTTTTTTTTTTATGTCTTCCTAGTTTTTATTGTTTTGTATCAACTTCAACACTTTCATCAGTCTCATTGTGAGCTGCAGCTGTTCACACACAGCACACATACAAGGTTAGTGTGTAGCAGCTGAACATAGTTGAGGGTTTAGCGACTAAAGAGCCAGATATTTCACTCAGGAGGTGGTGGAGACCAAAGTAGAGCTAAAAAGAGAAAATACTGGACTACTCTGACCCACCTATTGTAGACGTTAGGTATAAGTTTGCAATTTCCATCACATATTTTACACAGCATCCTCCACCACTTCAGCTGCCTGCTTGTTAGTGTTTTTAAAATCTTATTTATGATGGAAAACATCTACAACTACTACCATGCAGTGCACTGAAAATGTCAGGTTTTGCCAAAAGTTTGGATTGTGCAATAAGAAAGCCCTGCTTGTTTTGTTTTCGTTTGCTTCCTTGTTTTTTGTTGCCTTGTTTTATACTTTGTAATTTAGCCATTTTAGTCACTCAAAAACTATTTTACAGGGCCACCATTGCTACATCCCGGGCTTAGCACTGCCCGAGACGATTTTGATTGTTGTAAAGGAATACAGTCACACCAGAGCAACCAGAGCAGAATGATAATTGGGTGCCGTTAAACCATTCTACAGAGTTTTATACAGTTTTGGTTAATTGCTGATGATGACTTGTAAAGTCACAGACAATGTATTAATATTCATGTCAACTGTAAAAACAGAAAAAGAAAACAGCACAAAATCGTCAATAACATCCACATGAAAGGTCCATTTTTACGAATTGGTTGTTCTTTAACTGTATTTAAACAAGCAAAAAGTACCATTATTCTACATATATTTGCTATTAGTTTCAAAGTTGTTATTTTTTTTTTTTTACAGCTTTGGGCGTGATAGTATTCTACTGTTTTTTTTTTAACATACTTTTTCTGGCATCCTTGCTACCAGATTTCCACTGTTTCTTTATTACAGTGTGAATGTCTGAATAAGCAACTATTTCATCATATAAACTTGAAAATAGACAGAACATACTATGTAGGTGCTCTGCACAATTCACCAAATATTCAGTTAGCAGCACAGGTTAAAATACTATTTTTCATCTTGGGTCTTAACCTCATTATTGTGTCTGTTGTGTCTATGAACTAACCTTTTACCCACTAACCCATTGCAGAGATTCAGGAAACGCAACTCTGGCAAAACATCATACGTAGGGGAAAGTAGCACAAGATTTACTGACAAAGTCCATTATCATGTGAATCATATCCACTGCTTGTTTTTAGGTTTAACCCTTTATAGGGTACTCCTTGAAATACTTGGAAAAGGAAAATTTGTTCAGTGTCATTGAAGGATATTTCAAGATATTTTTACTTTTGTGACTTAAAAAAGAAAAAAAACTGTTGCAAATCAAGATGAATGAAGTTACCGTGTATCAACCTGCCCGTCTACGGTTAAAAAAAAGGGAATTTATAATAAATAAAAGAATATTAACAAACTAGAAACGTTTTAGTTTGAGGTAATGATTTACAAAACCAGTAACGAAGTATTTATAAATACTTTTTTTTTTTTACAACTTTATTTATTTATTTATTTTTAATTGCCTCAAGGGGATAAATAAGTTATTTGAATTTGAATTAAATAAAGTACTTGGCAAGTTCATTTAGTAACATTTTTCTTGGGGTAGTGGTATTGGCACTAATCTCAAGAAATAGATCAAAGTGGGGTTCAATGCAAACCAGTAACAAAGTGTTTCTAAAGTGCCTGGAACAGTTGTGACATTTTTCATTATGCAGTGATATCGGCACTAATATAAGTACTAAATCAAACTACACATGGTTCTTCAACCTCAAGGGGAGGCACAGGATGGACATACTGAACGTCCAAAGAAGTTACCAAATATGGTCACTTGCCCCATAAAGGGTTAAAAGAGAATTAAAGTCAACCCAGACTGGATCAGTTTTTGTAACTATCTTCTGTTGCAGTTTGCCCAATGTGGGTAGCAAGTTACTTTCATGAAAACAGATCAACATATTGCTTGTTTATCAAGAAAAGGTCACAGTAGTAGGGCCTCTTCCATGTAAAGCCAAGCCTGAAAATATCCAATTTCAGAAATCCAATTATGTGTGTACCTTTTTTGGCAAATGTGACAACTGAATGTAGACTGTGTTAGTGTGTTTCCGAGACGCGTTGGCTTTTTTTCCTCTCCCAGAGGTGAGATTAATGCTTGACTGTGTTCTGAACTCCACTGGTTGCCCGTGGGGTGCCTGCTTTGGCTTTCTCCTGCGTCTTTCCACCAGACCTGAAGTAATGCAGCTGTGAAATATTGATGCACTGTAAGTTGTCTGTTGCTGCTATGACACGCTGAGATGGCGAAAGAGGTCTTGGTAGTAGGA